CCGCCCCCTTCCCCCGGCTTTAAATTACTCTATAATTCAAGCGGGCTCTACCATATATACGGCCCAATCAAGAACGAAGAAAATCAAGTGCATTGGGATTAATACACGGCATTTGCTTATTCACAGGGATAATAGACCAAATAATCCCATCACTTTCACTGTTTGTAAAATTTTACTTTGCCGCTAAGTGACAACCGGTATCTAAAACGGTTTTGCTTTATCTATGCTTTTGTCGTGACGTTTCGAGATTTGGGGAAAAGAGATAACGCAAGATATCAATAGACTTATACGTTCCAGTAGTTTGCATATAACGGAGAAGTGGAAAGCAAATATATGTAAGATCCATGTCACCTAACGAAACCAGTTGGAAAAGTACTAAATCAAAAAATAGCTAGCTACAAGTTCTTTGTACGAAATCATTATAATCATTAAGCTTTGACCAGTGTCTCTCTCGACATGAATTAAAATTAAAAAGACTAGATCTGAGTTTTACATTTGTGGAGTAACTTCCTATTTTCGTTTGCTGAGTTACTGCGCCGGGAGATGTTTTGAGCATTAACGAAGAAGAACATTTCAAGATAGAAAGACGCAGGTCAATCAGAGAACACACTTTTCTTATCGTGTGTTTGAAAGTATATTGAAATCCACTTGAAATATACTAAAAACATTTAGCCTTTATTCAAAAAAGCTTTTTCAAGAAGAGCAGTATTGAGGAATGATATCACATTCATTGCCAATATGAASCTAGTCTCTAGTGGTTTAGTTTTAAGTGTATGGTCGGCGCCAGAAATCTTACACCATTTAAACATAGAAAATAAAAGCGCAGTGGAGCAGATCTACTATGTTTAATATAAAAATAGAAATGAAGGAAACACGAAAAAAAGGAGCAAGAAAGAATGAAAGAAAGAAAATACTCAAACAAAACAGCATAATTGAARGTCTTAGTAGTTGAATGGTTGGGCAAATTATTCTTTCTAATGCAGAGTAGRAAACGTAATCTTTTAAAAGGTTCATAAGCTGTTTGCAGTGGATTCTTAGGCAAGCAGACGATAAAACGATTTGTTCGAATTTTTGATTTAATTCATTTTTGCGAGCCATAGCCATAACTAGTTTTGAATGACTTTTGATTGACATAATGCTGTGTGATTCAGTAATAATATATAATATGATATAATAAGCTCCAGACAACTAAATTATTGATTTCACTTCTCGACATTAGTTGGCAGAATTATTTCACTGAAAAGACATGGCATATTCATTTATTTAAAACTCCAATTTGCTAATGACGATTGTCACCAATGCGTTCTACCATTGATGCCATATTTTAAGTGAAACTCATTATCATTTTTGAGCCCTTTTGCTTCTTTCAAACCTGATATGTTTCTGAGTTAGTTAGTTTTGACTATCCAAACTATAGAAACTAGTTTCGCTTTTTCTCTTAGCTTGAATCAAATAAAAAAGGAGGAGAAAATTAGTGGAACGACCTGTATCCGATGTTCTGTCAAGTCAAAGTCGTTGTCGCCTGAAGACAGGCGATCTTCGGTTCAGTTAATCACTACCTGATATGAGAGCTGCCAATGAACTTCATAGCAAGCTTGGCAAATCAAAGAGCGTTGAAAAGAAGAGGAATTATCAAGAAAAATAAATGCAGTTGCTAAGGATTTCATGAATCAAAACTCGTAAACATGGACTTGTTTATCAGTAACGAAGCCGCTTGCCAGTGATTTCAATTACTTCAATTTTGAGTTCTGATTGGTTTGACTCCAATATACCGTTTTACTTTTTGAACTTGTTCCTTTAAGGCGCAATAAAGTTTTCTAATCAGTCAATCTAATGAGGATATCAGACGACTACCTACACAGCGATTTTTTAATTATAAGCCTTCTTTTTCATGACAAATCTCTCCTCAGTGAACCACAAATCATAAATAGAAAGTTTAATTCAATGTATGTATTTTTACCTTGGTATAAATGTCTTTCCCAAATGTCCTCTCTTTTCGCCTTTGAACTTTWAATGTTTCTTTAAAGAAATTTTCACATAAGAGTGGGGAAAATATTTCATTTGTCCCGAAGGCTTCCACAAATCATTTCCTTAACTACGATTGAAAACCATGAAACATCGTATGTTGACGTCACAAGCAGAGCCAAACTGGGCTTTCATTGGGCCAGTCTAAACAATAACATAACTTATCAAATATGGAAATAGGATCAACACATTTTGCCATGTTAGAGGCATTCTTCGTAACAGTTTTACTGCAACTTATTTAACAAAAATGCACATCCTACCAAGGTATAATTAATCTTCATATTACACATGTAAAAAAAAAAAAAAGATTCATGTAATCAATGAAAATGGTTGGCGTCCGGATGTGTTTTTAGAAAGTAAGAGAAAGGTCTTACCATTTGCTCTCCAGGATGTTTTTTTTAAATATTTTATACCAACCTTCAAACTTAATTAATTTGGACCCTGGCTGATATGTGGCTGTAGAGGCTTTATGTGTTTACGTCATCTTTTATCTTAATATCCTGGCTCTCGAAATACAATTTTTTGTTATATTCCTATCGATTGAAGCAGTTTTTTACATGCGAAGGCAAGAGTAGGCAAGCTGGCTGGATGGCCGAGTGATAATCAAAGTTTTCGCCGTTCCGTCGGACGTGTATACGGTCAATTACTTAATATATATATATATATATGTATATCGCAAACATGTCATAGTATATATATATATATATATATATACAGCGGTTTGCATAAACTTTGACCATTTGTGCATATATACAAGTATATCAAAATTATATCAAAAATTATAGGATATGATGCCTGATATTGTTTTCAAGTTGTCTATCACTAGGGTTTTCTGAAAAAAATATTAGAGATGATATCCCATAATTTTTTAGAGGTTTCAGAAAAATGGGAACTATCAATCTATTCTGTCAGTACAATATGGCTTCTTTTAAACAGCTGCTCTCCGTCTGTTTTTGTGCTTTTTTTTCCGGAAAAAAGATGAACTYTCAGGCAATCTAGCTGATGGCTAAACTCAAAGTAGATAACCATATGCATTTGCACATTGTACCTAGTATATAATGATGTACCGTATCATAATTCAAATGTCATTTTTCTAAAATTTTGACGTTGGATAAAACAAAATAAATACACAAAATAGGTAAGTTTAAATAACAATAATAAAGAGGGGGTCACCATGCAAACCTGTGACTAGCCAATATTATACAGGCACCTATCTTGAGCTACTTGACCAGTCCGCATCAAGTGGTGAAAACAAATAACAAAGCAACTACAATGGAAAATGAAAATAAAAATGATTAGAAAATATATATTAAAATGTATTTGTARCTAATAARGTGTTTCAAAGGTCTTTTTTTATAAGAGGTATTGAACTAACAAACGCTGGAAAGACAATCTACTTCTCGCAAAAAAAAACTCAGGCTAGCTAGTGTCGCTCTTTTTTCTAGTTTTTCTATTTTTTATTTTTATTTTTTCTTCCCTTTTTTTTCTTTCTTTTTAGCATTTCTTTAATTATATGAAATTATAAAAATGGGGAGCATCGTTCGTTTTGAAGAGATATAAGAAGATATATAGAAACTGTCATAGTATTTTGCCAATCAAAACAGTTTTGATAAATAAAATATGATGATAACTTTTTTAAAAASTTTTTTTAGCAGTTTGAAGTCGAAACGTCGCGGTCCTCTACAAACGACCCTCAATCGTGGGACAAATGAATAAGTATCATTTGTAACGTACCTGTYTTAATGTCTAAAACAAAGCCCTTTTTGATACCCAACATTAGAGGGRAAAAAACCAAAAAAATTCGGAATTACAAATTTTGTAAGATTTTCTATGACTCAAGTTCGAGTTTGAGACCGAGTTCGAGGTTAGGTACCAGTTTACTTCGGCCGTCAATTTTGTGATCCTACGACCGCTGATTGACGGCGAAAATAGCACTCAGTTTTTGGTATCGACGTCTGTTTTCTGAATGCAATGGTTCTCTGAAAGAAGAATTTTTCTTCTCTTTTACGACTTTATGATATCAAATTATTTCTGACGATGTGGCATGAGGACAAGGGAAATTTCAAGCTATATATCTTGCTTGTTCGGCTACTACAGTTAAGTGAAAAATATCGTACAAATTTTCACGTAACGTGAAGGCTTAAAATCCATACTTAATGCTACCTAATTATTACTTTGAACAGTACCTAATTATTTGGTTATTTATATTCATACAGACAGCGAAAAGCACGGCGTGATCCACAAAGCAAGGACTAAAAATAAAAAGCAATGGAATAAAATGGAATAAAATTGTCTTTAGATATTATAATAAGACTTGTGATTCTACTCATATTTTCTTTTGCCTTCAAAGATGATTGAAGTAAATTTTAAATAAGCCTTAAGATAGTTCACTAGGTAACAACTCAAATAATCTCCAAATGAAAACATTCATCCTTTATAAATAGTGTAAATAATTATTTATGTGATTGCAGGGGAAAAATAATGGATATGATGATAGTTCAATTAACACGCAAATAGTGGGATATTATCACTRATACCTACCTCTCGAACTTTTCTTCCCTTTACAATAAAACAAAGATCACTAACAATAATTGAGCAAAATTTAAGTGTCTAAAGTTGAAATATCTTCCCTCTAAAGAGAAGTCGATATCCATCCAGAAGACATCGATCAAAGAAACCGTAATCATTCTGGAAAGAAAACATTGCTTTTAATCATCGAAAATCTATGAGTGGTCCCTCTGAATTACTTCCACTCTTTTCAGGCATATGGTATCGCACCACTGCCATTTACAGACCCTGTACCGCAATCAGCTCTAGATTGTTTACGYAGCAATACATACACACATCCAATCATTGACAATAATTATGAGTCTTTCAATCGGCGAACTTTGTGCCAATGCAGTTTTCCTGCTTAAAGTAATAATCCATAACAGCCATCTGTTATCAGTRCAGATAACATCAAAGTCGGAGACTTTGAACTGATTGAACACAATTTCGTGGGTGAATCTATAAGTACTTCCTTGAATAAAATAATAATAATTTTAAAAAAGGTTTAGCTGAAATAATTATCATGCAGCACAAAAATTGTCAAAATGCCTTGTTTAAAA